CTGTATTGAGGGAGAAGGTTCTTTTTCTCGGCTCCCATTTCCGTATATGAAACACAGAAAACGAACCCTAAATCCCTCATCTTTATGTTGGATATCTACTTATTATCCATTTTGTTGTTTCTCAATATTGTGGTTATGCACAGACAGATACTCTTTTTTCTATATTTCCATTTTCTATACACTACATCTCTTATTTCTGTTCAGGTTTTTGTCTCACTAGGACCAATCCTGCAATATATTTTTATCATTTATGCTGTTTAACATGCCTATTTAAGTTGCACTTTCCTCCAAGAAGTTCAGTACCAAAACGAAACATTGCACACATCAGAAATATGTCCCAAGAACTACATAAAGATTGTTTTAAAAATGAGCATGGTTCTTTAATGAAGAACACTCTGCAAAAGTACATGAAACAGCAGTACTGAAAACTTCTCAGGGTGAACTATTACCGTTCCTTTGCAGCAAAGAGTTCTTACATGTGAAATCATAACAAAATCACCTGTACTATAGTTTTCCTGTAGCTTTTTACAGTCATGAGATGAAAATCTGTATTAAGTGAAAGAATGTGTCATAAACCGCAGTATAGAGATAATTTGGTTTGGCCCCAAACAGTTCATTCAGTATATGGTTTCAGTGCTAGATACTCTTGTTGAGACTCTGAGATAGTATCCCAAAGGAAAAGTTTGAAGTCCTATAGCACCAATCAATTAAAGTCACATAGGACAAAACATAGGAAAAATACTTTATGGAGCAACCTCCCTGGTCCCAAGGGGTATAGACAAGATGGACATTTTCTTCGTAAATTTCTAAATTATTTGCTAATGCACGGCATCTCTAGAGAGCAAACACTACTCTTTCCACAGACAGTTCAGACATAAGCCATGCCCATCCCCTGCCCGCTTTCCTCCTCACCCCCTGCATGGCTGCCCCACCCACCCCAGCTCCCGGCTCTTTGGAAAAAAAAGCCCCAACTCAGCGGGTGCTGCTGGGTGCTGCTGGGTCAAGGAAGCAATCCCTGCTGCCCCCCGCTGCCCTACACTGTGTGGGAGGCTCTCCACTGAGTGCTGGGGTGCGCAAGGCAGCCATGTGGGTGCTGGGGGAGCAGACGGGGTCATGGGGGGGTTGGGGGTGCAAGGAAGGGATGGGGCCTGGCAGCACCCCCACCCCCTGCTTATCAGTCCCAAGTCCATCTGCAGCTCCCTGCTCACCACCGAAAGTTTCACACAGGCCTATTATTTAGCTAATAGAAAGAATTTCTGAAACCTACCCTTTTTTGTAGTTTTAACAAAATTCCAGTTGACATCCAGAAGTAGACTGAGACTAAACACATGGCAGAAATAATCATCTTGTAAATAAGAAATATCATCCCCAATTTTAAATAAAATGTGAACATTAAAAATCTGAATAAAAGTATGTTAAGCTAAGTTACTGATGTGCACGTGTATCATCACCAAATAAGTGGCAAATTCAGTGTGAAATTATGTTTA